GATTATTAATTTCATAATGCGTGACTATTACGCAAAGCTCTTAAAAAAAAAAAAAAAAAAAAAGAAAAGGAATAAATAATTTCGCTCATATATATAATTATTTTTTCGAAATTTTCTAAAGCTAATTTTTGTCCTGTACAATAGAATTAGTTGAAACTAAAAGGATGACGATTATCCTATTCACATAATAATATAACATGGATTGTAACTTATCTCTCTCGTTTAGCACTTAAGTATCCATCTGTCAGAGCATACATATTCCCACTTGACTCGTGCAAACGTTCCTAATACGACACAACTATCAGCTCACTCATTCACTCACACTTTTTTTCTCTCTTCCCCCTTTCGAGATTTACCTATCCAATCGATATTCTCTCCAAGTGCACTTTCTACGTTATGCATTTTTCGATACTTTTACAGGATATTCTTTCTTTATATTGGATAGAAACGAAAATATAAAATGAAACCATCGAGAGAGATCATAACAAAAGAAGTTACGCGCGTTCAAGTTTTCCAATAAAATCTTTTACTCAAATATCAAAATTATTTTCAGAAGTTTCAACTTTTTAACTACTATTTACTTATTACATTTTAATCTCTTTTTTTTTTTTATTGTATTTAGACACGAGAGAGAATAATTTGTTGAAAACTCGTCAAAGTTCGATAGATACTTGTAATTAAAAGAATATAAATTTTACCTGTATCTCAAAGTTGCAAAGAAACCAACGATGACAACGAATACGAAAATGGCAGCTCCGGTTACGCTTATCATACAAATTGGTCCGCAAGATTCGGTTGAAGCTGTGTACAAATAGAAGGGTAGAGAAAGGAGAAATAAATAAGATATTGTTTAAAGAGACGAACCTTTTCTAGCATCGGTCACAGGTTCCTCATTTTTGTCACGATCCCTTCGTAATTTTCCGTTTGCCTCGTTTTTCCCAGTTTTATTGGATTTCGTAAATTGACTACCCCGGCCACCTCCACCACTACCACCACCACCACCATTATCCTTTCGAATGGATTCGGGACCACAAGTACACTGTAACATATCGTTGCACGAACATATTCCTAAACCACTTCTTATTCCACGACCACCCTTATTCATTTCTGCGAAGTGAACGTCAGCTGAAAAATACAAAATCAAAATGTGCATCCATCCCCTTCGAGAAAACTCGTGTTTTGTTTTCCCATCGTTAGTCAATGCAACTTTTCTTTCTCCTTTATTATTTTTTACGAAAATGGGATTACAATTAAAATGTCTATATTATCGCAGAAAATGTACAACGATATTATTCATGATGACATTAATTGTACAATTATTCGAATAAAATAATGAACTCTTATTTCCATAAAATATCAAATTTTGTTGCTTTTGTTTTGTAGAAGTATTTAATGACGTAATAAATAAGGATTATACTTACATTCTATTGTACAGTCCTGTGGACAAATACGAGGATCAAGTCGTTCCAATTCGTCACAGGTGTAATCAGGGCAAAAGTTTAAATTCGGCGAACACGTTGCATAACGTTCGGACATTTGGTTGGGCAAGCTATTGCTATTGTTCAAACGCCATATGCAATGTCCCATATAAGTGTCGTTGCTACATAAAACATGAGTAACATAAATTGAAGAAAATAGATATCATTTATTATACATGGTGTCTCGCGTAAAGGTTGACAATATTTTTCCAGCAATGGTATTATATATATTTGTTCGATATCCCGTTGAGAAAAATCATTTTTATTATTTTATTTTTATCATCTATACCGAGATATTCGTGGGAGATATAGGTTGAAAGGTCAAAACGTGGATAGAAAATGAAAGACACATACTTGAGAATACTACCGCCACCAACGCCACAGATTAATTCACAATCTCGACGAGATTCAGCATTAGCGCAGGAATGAATGATTCCTCCTTCGATTTCATTGCAAATCTGCATCTTCGTTGGTTGCACGTCCATCAAATTAACCTTTATCGTTATGGATGATTTAACTTGATCACCTACTCGCAATTCTAATTTCAAACTAAACGTAACAAACAGACAAATTTAATAATATCGATATGCAAGAGAATATAATATTATCTGCATCTATGTTTATTAATTCTCTTTAATGTTTTGAATATTTTAGTTAACGAAACTGTCTATTCTTTACCGAAACGTATATAAAATTCATTTGGCTTTAAACTTTTGGACCGCATAGTATTTTATCTCGTTAAACGTGCAAATGAGTAAAGCTACTTATCTCTTTTAAAAACCAAAAAAAAAATGTTAATAGCAGAGAAAAGTTTTATTTAAATACATACACATATATATATATCTCTATAGTAGTTGTTAATAAGAAGAAAATTTAATATGAAACTTACGATACAACGGGCGGTGCAATTTTAAGTAGATTCGTGTCGATCACGTGCACAATACCACCTTTTTCGGTAACATTGAAAGCTTTCGAGCCATGGATACTGAAAGATATTCTTGGATTGACTTGACTTGTTGGTTGTGCAACACGATAGTACCTAGACGAAACACGAGCAATTCTGACGTTTTCGGGATAAGTGATCGGATGTTTTAGAGAAATCGATGCTGCTGTCGGAGTCATTTTTCGATGCTCCGGCCCGTAGAACGATATCGTAACATTTACCTGAAAACAATTTTTCCAAATTCAAAACAAAAACAAATTAAATAATTATTTCAGTAGTTATCCTCGTGCTTGATTTTTTTCGTCCTGAATTCTCCTCATTTTTAACTAATGCATTTTATGTAGAATACATTAAGGCATTTTCTGTAGAATACATTAATGTATTTTATGCAGAATAAATTAATGCATTTTACGTATACTTTTCACGGAATTCCTATTACAAATTAGCCATTATTTTAATAACGTTAAAGATTAATAATTGTATTCCGTGTTATATTATAATTTGTTAGGATTATTTGAACGAATTTTTCTAACGATACCTTTTTTTTTTTTTGCACAATTCGTAGTAATTACATTAGAGAAGGATGGGAGGGAGGGCAAACAAGAAGTCAAATAAAACTAATGAAACAAATTTGCAAATTATCGGAAGGATATAAATTTGTGAGATACTTTCTTTATTTCTTTCTCTCTCTCTCTCTCTCTTTTTCTAGGAGCTGGATAGTAACTATGGAAACGAAAAGGGAGAAAAAGTAAGAACGAATGCGAATGAGAGAAAGAAAAAAAAAGACCAAATAAAAAAGAGAGAGAGAGAGAGAGAGAGAGAGTGAGTGAGATAAAAAGAGGAGACATGTTGTGATTGCAACGAACTGATTCCTATCGTAGAAGATTTATTTTCTCGTTCGAATTCAATTTTATACCATTTTGACTACTATATACACGGATGACGTAAAGAAGATATTATTTTGTAGCAGTTTAATTCACATTATCTTCTTTAGGTAAAGTCAGATAAATGCATATATATATACACGAAGTGAAATAATATAATATTAAACTCTGAGAAATTTGTTGAAACGGATAATTATGATTTTAAAACATATCTACAAATATTAATAGAGTTAGTTTTGATTAATGAAATAAATTAATTTAATTTTGTATTAGACACACACACACACACATTGGAAATGCACTAAACGGAGAATCTAATCGTGCTATCAATAGTAATAATGGCAAGATAAAGAGAATTGATCGATATCGTAAACACATAAATTTATTATCGATAAGCTTGCTAGGTGTTTCTGAAACATTGCTGTATGTAGCTAATAAAGTAGGGTTGGTCTTTGTACATCGTACCGTGATTTGCTATTATCGATTTTTATTTCTATAGGTATTTTACGTGCATCCTGTGAAATTTGACACCTATATTTTAAAATATAATTAATATATATTTTTATATTATTTAAAATATTCATTTGGTATCAATTAACGTTTTGATTATTAAAAATGAAATATATATAGCCTAATCAATTTATTGCGCGAATGTACTTCACTATATATATATATCATTTGATTTACTATCGTCGAGGTATTAATATTAATCGTTATTTCTGCTCTTCATGAGTTTTAAGAAACTAATCATTTCTATCCTACGAGTTTCAACATAATATATGTATTATCCCGTATGGCAATGATTAATAATACTAAAATCATGCTAGACGATAAAGTTGAATCTAAATCGAAATAACGTTGACATAAATAATATCGACGTCATTTTCGTAGGCTGCTAAAAACAGCGTATATTTCCATGTGTGTGTATATATATATATTATAGAATTTTAATTAAAAAGGAAAATCAATTGTGAATAACATCGATGAAAATGCAAATTAAATGATACCGAACAAAAGATATTTTCCTTTCGTATAAACTTGGCTAAATTACATTTTTTTATTAGGGGAAAAAAAAAAAAAAAAAAAAAAAAAGAAAAGAAATGCGAGTGAATCTAAAATGATTTTATAAATGATTAAAAACTATTTTAAAAAGGGAAAGTTTGGCGCCGAAGATTGAACCGAAAAGTCACGTTAACGCTTTTAGGAAACCGCGATTCCCAGACACCGGAGTTTGCTATTAATTCGCGATTAGACGAGTCTGTGAAAAATCAATGCCGCACCCCGAACGAATATATATATCGGCGTAGTTTTGCTGCCCGATCGTTTAATGAGTCCCGATTATATCGCGAATTTACGGCCACTTCGTACGATACACAAAGTGCCACTAATTGCATCCACTTTTCGTTCAAAATGATTCTTTATTTCCGTTTACTGTTGTAGTTGTTATTATTATTATTATTATTATTATTATTTGTCGTTGATTGTAAAATGTAAAGGAAGTTTTTCGATATATGTGCATATATATTAAAATGTATTTTCGAAACGAACATTTAATGAAATTTTATTGTATACCGTTTAATGTTCATATATAAAGAAGACGACGAAATGAATAAAAAAAAAAAAGTGAAATATATTTAGTAAAAGTGTCAAAGTATAAAAGGAATAATTTTAAATCGGGAATTAAAATAAAAATCGAAATACGAACGATTAATTATCTACAAAAAAGGAATCAAGTCCTTAACGAGATGTTACAAACGAACGCAATTTGAAAAGAATTCCCTTTGGAGTTTGGACTCGCAGTCAGTAATTGGCTGTGACGATAGGACTACTACTTCCCCTTTTATCCAGTAATTGGGAATCGGGTATACCAAACGACGTTCTTTGTGCACTATCGAAAGTCTTCTTCTTTTTCTTGTCCGATGCACCCCACGTGGAGATATCGTTCAATGTCGTTTTCGCTTCGACGAGTATCGAAATTTAAACCTCCGTCTCGTTTCGTCTCAACTAACCCTTTCTCTTCTCCTTCCCTTATCAACCCTTATAAAGCAAGCTTTGTCACGACGAAGTAAACACAACTCACCTCATTTTCTCCGTATTCTGGTAAAAGAGATTCGTCCTTAACTCGAAGGATAACTGTATAAGGTGATTTCGGTAATAGCGTAGTTTTCGCGTGAAATCCTTGAAAAAAGAGAAAAAGAAACTAATCAATTTTTTTACCCTTACAAATATTAGGATGAATCAAAAGTTCGTACGTTTATAAATTAATATTTCCAAAGTAAATTTTACACACAAGAAAAAGACAATTCATTATGCAGTTTGTAATACAATTAATAATACAGTAAATGCAGGAAACTTTTGGTTCATTCTAATACTTCAAAGTATTTCATTATAATTCCTCAAAATATGGAGAGAAATATAAAGTGAAATTATTAATTCTAAACGATAAATGTATTTTATTATATTTTTAAACACAATTATATATAAAAATAAAAAGTTTGTAAACCTGTTGATAGATTTGATATGAAGGATTACTCACTAGTGTAAATAAAAGTGTATACAGGATGTTCCGGATGTGTCGGATGATCGATGGGCACTATGGTATATGTGAAGTTTAGAGCATTGTGAATATCTTCGAGAATACTAAGAGTAAATTGATTACTGTCCATCTCGTCGGAATCTCTGATGAATACATTATTTTCATCCAGTCTATCCCCCTGTTGAATATGCAAAAAGATTGAGAAATATTTTCATCCTTCCTACTTTACTTTTATTTTTTTTTTCTTTTCCTTTTAGTTTTGTAAAGTATGAAAAAAGAAAAAAAAGGGAATGTACTTTTTGGATTCTTTGTATTCGAACTATGTGACGTTTTTCTTTTTTTTTTGGATGGATGTTCTCTTCTTGCCTTGAAACGAATCCCTTTCATCCTCCAATGTAAAATAAGAGAAACGGACGAGAGGGGGAAAAAATATGGAAGGAAGAAGAAAAAAATAAAAAAGGGGAAGAGGAAAGTGAGCGTGAAAAAGAGAGGCAGGAGTTTAATCAGGATCAGCCCTCAAGGTTTCTTTTTCTCTTACTTATTCACTCTTTTTTACACCTTTGCTTGCTCGCTCACTCACTCACTCATTCTATCTCTTTCTTTCTTTCTTCCTTTTGTGTCATTCTCACCATACTCGTCGTCCGTTTTTTACGGTGCTTCCCAAAACAATGCCATAATTATACGGACAATGTACAGCCATGATTAAGTCCCGTTTTACGTAGGGATTACATTTTCAATCATATGTTTTAACTTTGACTTCGCGCGTAAAAAAATCTTTCTTAGAAACATATGAATGTATTTTGTAACCTTTTTGTTTTTTTTTAAAAAAAAAAAAAAGACATGACAAAGTATAAGTGTCTTGATATAAAAATGATAGAAAAATTGCAAGGAATTTCGGAGAAATAATACATAGAATTGATAATAAATCTTTTATCGGATTTGTATCGGAAATGTAATATATACTTACAGCGGTGAATTCTTGTACGGTAATATTAACGGAGGTTAGATTATTTTGTATTACAGGAGGATTATCGTCCTGATCCAGTATTTCGATAGTTAAGTTATTTAGCAAAGCGAATTGATCCCCAGTGGTTTCTTCATAGACGATGCACTGTACTAAAATATCGGCTCGTGGTCCAGGACCACCCTCTGGTTCAAGAGTATCACGATCCAACGAAGCATTTGTATAAAGTGTATTATTTATTATTTCAAAATAATCTTTGCCTAAAAATGACAATGAAAAATTGATTAACAAACGATTATGTTTGATCATTGAATTAAATTGATGCAACAAGTCAATTAATTTAGAATTATCTTTGCGGAGTGTACACACTACTTTTGGACTTGTTCCAATGAATGATCTCGTAAAAAAAATAATCCATTGAACATGTGCAATATGTATACAATATATCTGTTTTACGTATTATTAAAATAAATTACCATTCAATAATCGGTATTCGGTAATACGGAAATGTGGACAAATATTATTATAAATTTCTGGTCCAAGTGGACCGAGCATAGTCCTTGGTTGATTTTCATAAATTTTGTATCGAGAGGAATTCCAAAAACACATGTCCTATAAAATTCGAACACAGATCAATTATATTCGATGTAAAATACACTATTTTATATATTATAATAT